GGATAAAAAAATTTTTTTTTTTAGAAATTTTAGGGAATTTAGGCATGGGTCGTCTCATGCCTGCTTCTTTATGCATGCGTAATAGGTGATAAAACTGATCATTTGCTGCTGGGTACAGCTAGCTTTTTAAAAAATTTAATTTTCCAGCAGCCAGCACAAGCCCTTGCTGAGAAATCAGCAAAAGCCGCTGTCAGAGATCTTTGCCGAAAGATGCTGGTGGACTGCTTTTGGTATCGAGGAAGAAAACGCGTGTTTGCAGTAACAAGGTCAGCAATGATACGTGACCTATCAGGAGGCGCAGAATGCCCAGTGTTGGAAACCTTCAGGAACCTGACGGGCCACACCCTGGTCGGCCTGTCCCTCGTGGGCACCGTAGCCAAATCTCCGGATTCCCTCTACGATCTGGACATTTACCCGCTGGAAACTGCTTGCTTCTATTTGAAATGCGACTTCACCATGAAACCCGTGACGAGTGGCTGGGGCGCCGAGTTGAAGAACAAGACGTGGACTGGACTGATTGGCGAATTGCAAAACGGACCCGATAATTACTTGGGGATCATGGTGCCCACGTCTTACCGGACCGTCGTCTTGGACTTCACTTCCGGAGCACTCTACGATGCTTACAACATCATCATGTCGAGAAAGGCGAGGCAAGTGATGGATGGATGCTAATTTTAGAAAATGCTGAATATGTTTGGGGGAAAGACTTGGAAAGGTAACAAAAGTTGGAAAACATTTTTTTTCTTAAAAGCCCACCTTATTTAAAACAACTGCATGATGATTTTGCGGATCTGTAGGAAAAATTGAAACAGACAATTGGAGATAGGACCAACTTGAGACAGGGCTAATTTGAGACAGAAAGTCATGGAGACAGGGACAATTTCAGACAGGCACATTTGGAGACAGAGAGAGTTTTGAGGCATTTCCAGACAAGGGCTATTTCAGACAGAAGTATTTCCTTATTGCTTTCATAGTTCCATTCCTCTCTAGATCCATTGTAATACATTTCAGTGTATAATACACATAAAAATCATCAAAAAATTCTTCATAATTTTTATAATATTGGCAGAGGTAAACTGTTCGAAATATATTCTCTCATGGCCAAATAAAAATTACATAAATTTCCATACATAACATCTTGTATTGAAAAAGTATAGCACACAATTATCATAATGCTATATATCTAATAAAGCATATTTGGAATATTTAAAATTTGTAAGGAATACAAAATTCACAGATATATAAAATTAAAAATTCCCTGAGATTCAAAAAGGATTTTGGGAAAACAAGAAAATCAAGTTTGAAAGAAAAAAACTTGTGTGTGTGCCGAGTTACTTTGGGACTGTCTCAAAATGTCCCTGTCTCTAAATGTCCCGGTCTTGAAATTTCTGACTCAATTTGTCCAGTCTCAAATTGTCTGTATCAATTTGTCCATACACCTGTTTTTGTTCTTTCCAATGCACAGGTTGTGCCAATGTTTTATGTTTTAAATGTAAAGCTAAAATTATTGTAATTCAGCAATCAGCAGCGACTAAAAAAATTATACAGCAAGTATTCTTCGGAAAGAAAACGCGAATTATTCATCAAGAAATTTTTTGCCGAAAAGGTTTCAATTTCATCAGTTGGCAAAATGAATCTTCAGACATATTCTAGAATATCTATATAAGATAAATGAAAACAGAAAGGCACAGTTTCGCTTACGGTAATTCTCGTTGTCAAATTTTGTAAATTACAGTAAGTGGAGAGCAGGAATTTGTCAGGATTATACTTCCATTTCATGCTATTCAATTTAAAGTTCACAATTTAATGCTGTCAACTATAATAGAGACAAGCTAAAGTTTGCAAGGGTTAATTCAGTATTTTGTGAGCAATGAATCGCAAAATTCAGTCCGAAGAAAAATGCAATTCACATTGCAAAAATTCGCAATTGAGTTTTTTCAGACTTCTTTATTTTAATATTAACTTCATGCATATATAAAACAAAAATACAGGACAGTATCACCATTGGAGATTTTTTTTCAAGTGGACTTTTTAAGCATACGAATTTTGGCAACTGAACAATGAAAAAAAAAATCTGTGATAAAATAAGATTGGGATGAATGGGATAAAATTTTCTCTGAATTATTAGCTAAAAATACAAGGTGCTCGTATTACCCGATAACGCGTACTAATCTACAGTCAATGTATTGTAGAAGCTTTTCTTTTTTACATCATTGATGGTTTACGATATATTTTTTTCAATTGCTGGGGGGACTTCGCATGTCGATAATTACAGTTGTTCATCGTGTATACAATGCCTTAATTTTCTACAAAATCCTCCTTGTTTTTCTTATACTTACATATACGCTAATAGGAGATTGATCAAGTATTCAGTGATGGTGCAACCATTCGAATGGAACGCCTGGTTACTGATACTGGGCGGGACATTAATAACAGCAGTATTCCTTGGATTGCTGGCTGCCGTGAATGCGGATGAAAGGCCTTCTTTGGGAAAATTGAAGCAATACCTGTTGAAATCAGTCCCTGATACAATCAGAGGCTTAGTCCTGCAGAACCCCGAAGAGGAGCTGTCTTCGAGCGACCATTTCCGTGTCGGGAGCCTCGGGTTCCAGCTGGGTACCATCGTGGTCACAGTGGCCTACAGCAGCATGTTGACTGCACTGATTGCGTTGCCGGATTACGAACGGTCTATTAATGATTTCCAAGACGTAGTTGCTTTGAAAGCCACTGTTTATTTGCATACCTTTGGTGGAGCCACGAACACTAGGGTTCAGGAAGATCTGAAGGTGCTTTCGGGATCAGGTGAAGGCGTTACTTCCGAGTTGATTCCGACCATTCCGTATCAGAACATATTGGATGGATTCCAGCAGAGAAGGTCCTACGTGAACTCTTATTTGGTTTTGTTCAAATTCATCAACATTGATGTGCCGGCAAACGTGTCTGAGGAATTCCACTACTCCAAGGAAAAGCTGTATCAGAGGTTTTATTCTTTTGGTTTGAAGAAGAAATCGCGCTACTGGAGGTGAGCACCTAAAAATGTTAAAAGATTTCAAGAACATATATGGAATGAGTCAGAGAATTTCAGAAATCCCACTTTATAATGGAGGCTTCTGGAATGGAAAAATTGTATGAAAATGAGTTTGTTTGAGAATGAAAAAAGGTTGGGCTGGTTGAACTATCATGGACCAAGAAAAATAATTCTTGCAAAGAAGTATAATCAGGGGTTCCAGAGACTTCATTGACAAAGAAAAGGGTTTCAGTGAAATAAATATAAAATACTCAATTGGACATTTGCAGCCTTAGGTGTCAAACTCCTCATAAACAGTTTCTTTTTTTTTTTACTCTGATAATCAAGTTCACACAAGTCACACAAAATCTTGACTGCTGCAACGTACAGAGAGTTATGATCTTTAAATCGGGTGCTTCTATTCAGGTTCAGGTCATCCCTCTCAGTAGAAAGTTTCTCCAAGGCTTTCTGATGAGTTGTGATTTACTTGTTGTGCTTGTAATTTTCTCCAATTCTTTTTAATCCTGTGCTGATTCCCTGGTGTGGAGTATTTTCTGAAGGTTTCCCTGGATATTTTATTCAGGGTTTGTTCGAATTTTGGCATGCGTTTTGAATTTTTTTTCTTCAACATGGCGCAACAAGCGCCACATTTGTAAACAATACAAAGGCAAAATTTGAAAATTCCAAGAAGATTTAGATAAAAGATAGAAAAAATAGTGAATACAACTCAGTATGCCGCCTGGGAACTCAGCAGGGATAGATTGTCGGTAGAATCTCCAAAAGAGAAAAGAATTTGTAAAATATATTTCAGCGATAAACAACAATCAAACGAACTGAATTGGATGAAAACAGACTTAGAGATTTCACACTCAGAAAATAATTCTCAAAAACGGCAACTGAATGCTTCAGCAGAGACTCAATGAACAGTGTGCAAGTAAAAAGAGTTATTTGTATTATTCTAAAAGATTGCGCAATGTGAAATACCGTGGATTTCCCACTGCGCAGCATTCCGCAAATTCCTGATTTCTTGTTCCCCGTTTTTCCTACATTTTTTTTTAAAATTAATTTTACCTGTGTCCTACAATATTGACTTGTGGTACAGGACCCATATCTTGGGTGACATCTATAGTTGACCGCAAGGATCCACTATATCAAGGTTTTGACAGAGCATCCTACTACAGGTATATATATATACAATACCATTTTTCAAACTTTGGGCTCATAAAATAGCTTTATGAAAAATAAAGATAAAATAATTCTGAAGCCAAAAAAGTAAAGCTTATTCAGTTCTTTAAAAATGAAAATGCTGGATATCTGAATGAAAATATTAAGATCATACAGAAAAATCTCTTTACAAAAAAGCTGCTGGGATGGGACTGATAAAATAGCTGCATTGTAGAAAAAAATTTGCCATGAAGGAACTCTTTTAATGTTGTGGCTCATTTTGGATAGGAACCTAACCTAAAACAAAATTCTCTTTAATTTGATTATTTATGATGTGAAAATAGATTTTTTGTAACAAGATGCTACTGCTGTACATCTAATACAGTCAACCCCCACACAATGGACCTCCTGCACAGCAGATGTATTTTTGCACAACTTACTGCCTCTGGAGGTGGTTTTCCATCCCACAGAATGGACTAAATCTGTATAACAGACTACTGTTGGTTTAAAATTAATGGCAAGAAGTAAGAATAATAATTTGTTAATAAATGAATTTGCATAACAAACTTTTTTCACACAACAGACTAGCCTTTTGGATAAATCATGTCCATTTCGCGGGGGATGACTGTATTAGCTAATTAAATTTCAGCAAGCAACTGAAGAAAAGAAAAACCATCTGTTTAATTCCAGCTCTCATGCATAATAATATTTACTTCATGCCAAGTAACAATTAGCTTTTCTTTGCACCTGTAAATTGAATCTCCAGAATTATTTTTCCTGCAGCAATTTTTGGTGGACTGCTATTTCCTTTTTATGGCCCCAAAAACATGAGTATACTTATGTACCTGTTCCTTTACAGCAATATTCGGTGCGCTGCGAAATGTCACTACTGGGGCATCTATACTGCGTTTTATGTGGACAGATCTCCTCCTGCATATTGCCAAGATTTCCTATTTTTCTTCTCAGGTTCTTGGAGCACTATTCATTCATCAATGCGGCCTACGGATTCCCGATATTGCACGAGAGACAATTCATTCGCAACACCAATGACAAGCTGCCCAAAGAAAACGTCACTATTCCCAGGATGCACCAGTATCAGATAGAGAACTACGTGGCGTCGTACATAATTCTTGCTGTCGGGCTCGTTTTGTCAGTCATCGCATTTCTCACCGAGATATTGTTGGAATGCTGCAAGAAGCGGAAAGCCATTGGAATGCACAGGAAATAGAAAATGTTTGCCATATCACGTATATTTACTGCATTCAAGGTTGCACGTATATACAGTCGTCGACCAGCACAGAAATATAGTTAGACCGGTTTTCAAGCTGCATTTTCTCTGGATTGGTTAGTTTTGAGCTGATGCATTGAGCAGAGTTATTGTGTTATGAATGAATGAATGAACAGAACACCTTATTTGCCCCTTTTCAGCATTTACAAGGTTCAATCAAGATTTCCACATCCAAACCGCCTCCCCATCCAACCCAAATCAACTCAAAGACATTTAACCCTTGGGTGGCAAAGTTGGACTATTTTTGCAAAATGTTGTTACACCTCAGGGCAGAAAATAAAAAAGGGCAACAGGGATTTGAGGACAAAGTCAGGGAAAAATCCGATGTATTTTTTCTTTTTGCACAGAAAAATTTCATGGGAAAATGAAAGAAATCCTATGCTAAGCAATGGGCTTTTCTTGGATTAATCCCAACTTTTCCTCAGCCCACCTGCTGGAAGGTCTTTTCTGACCTTCAGAAAACTTAAAACGCCACAGCATACAAAAATAATCTGATTTTGGCCAATGATGGGAAAGAACCCTCTGCTGTCCAAGGGTTAATCACTTCACAGCAGGAAACAGAGCACAAATGGATAACAAAAATAAAAGAAAATGCAATCCACAAAATACAACTGGACATCTGACATGTATGTATACACCCATTTCTTCCCTGACATTGAAACAAAGTAACAGTAACAATTAATTTAAAGCACAAGGTCTTCAGCTTGTTTCTGTGTGAGGTTCAGTTGAATGAACAAATTACAGAGAATCTTTGATGAGAAATCATATAAAGATTTCCATTATCCACAAGAATACCAGATTCCACAGAGATCAGAAGGCAGATGAATACCCCAAGAAAAAAGTAATTGCATTTATTCGGTATGAAGTTACTTCAACTTTACTCTGTTTCTCGTCATTAATGTTTCGTGATTCTGTCATCAGTCTGTGATTTTTTCTGCTTGCAAGCAAATCTTGTGGTAAAAATTATTCACTTCCAATGATTACAGATCGCTTATTTCATGTATTTTCAATACTGTAAATATCTTTTTCAGCGGAATCTTCTTGATTCCCAGACCAAAATGGATGAGTTTAGTTCATTGGTATTCCAGGCCTATTATTATCCTATGCTCAATTCAAGGTTTCTGAAACACCAGCCAAGTACCTTTTGATAAAGCGAGCAACCCTGAGTAAGAAAACTTCAAAAAAGCAAGAGAAGGAAAATACATTAGGCGTAAATTATAGCAAACTATCGTAACTTTCAGTTTCGCCATTTTATCTTTTATGCTGTCCATTGTTCATCTATGCTCTTCTGAGACAGGGTCGTTTTTTACGACATACTCTCGGTTTTCCAGAAAATAGTAATTTTTTTTTAAATCTTAGATTGATGTCGGAGGAAATAAAATTTTAAAGCAGCATAAAGTGAGATGAAAAGTATCGATTCCTCAATGAAAAAGAGATCAAAAATGTTCGTTTCATCGTTCCAATAGTAAACATCGACTCACATCTTCAACTTCTGTTTTAACCCTCCTGCTGAGAACATTGCCCCACCTCTCGCCCCTCAAAAAACCGCTAGCAAACTGGCCAAGGCAAAAATTCCCCTACCCCTCAACACATCGTGGGTTAAAAAGTAAGAGTGAAAAAATCAGGGTTTTCTTCGTCTTTTCTTTTTTTTTTTTTTTGCGCAAGGTATTCGACACGTAAGTACGCACGGAAATTCGACGCCAATATATTCACGACAACCAGATCATCCAGGACCATGCAGAACCCAACAGACTTTTAGTCAACCTCAGTTACTCAATCGTTAGATCACAGGGCTATGAAGTGAAACGTGACAATTACTGAGGGGAACCGTAAATTAAAACGAGTACTTAGAAGCACCGACCACGCAGACAACAAATCAACTCGAACACACGCGGAGTCGGTTTCTACATTTTCTTCCACCCCAAGTCATGTGTGTAACATCTCACGCTCAAGCAGAGAAGGCAAGAATTTGATGTATTGGTTCAGAAAGGCGGAACACTTGTAATGCCGCCAAAGATGAAGAGGAAGAAAAGGAAACAACAATTTTGAAAACATTTTCTTCCTCGGGCTTTTTTGTCTTGGCCGCCTCTTCGGGCATTTTTCAAGCATTTGGGCAAAGGGGGAGGGCGGGATAAGAGGAGGTTGGTTAGAACACCTCAGCGAAATTTCTCCTCCAATGAACCCTTAGATTCAATTTGTTCCCTTCATCTCCGAGAATGAGATTTCATAAAGTTCTTTATGTCGAAATGAAGTTTTTGATATTGAAGGAGAAGCATCTTATTGCACGGAGGCTCTTTGTCGGCGAACATTAAATTGGCAGACAATTTTCTCGCATTGAGAATTATTTTTAGTTGCGGTTTATAGCCGTTGGTTGATTAAAAAAGCAAAAGGCAATAATCCGTGGATAAATTCAGCACAGCTGATTTAAATTTCTCATGCTTTTTTAAATCCTGAAGGTCAGGGAAAGAATACCGTAGCCAGTCTAAAAACTGTATCTGAAAAATTCGAATTGTATCGGTTCAAGGAGACTCTCAAATAATTATGCAGACAAATTATAAAAACATCAGAAGCACCACTGTCCTGAAGGACTCTCCAGTTACGTTTTATATTTTTATATCAACTAGATGTCGCCTCGATCTAATCATGACCTGAACTTGCAACGTCTAACATAGAACACCTCTCTAAACCCCAAGTAGGAATACATGTTGCAGATCATTTCCATGCAAAAAAAAAAGACATTTGGCAGGGAATGCATCGAGAATCATGTTAATTGCGGATCAATATTACCTTCGGTTAGTAGAAAAAATGAACGGCTGCAATTGATGATTCAATTCAGCCCAAGTTTTCCAAAAAAATTGTTTTTTTTAGCACTGATGGTCAGGAAAATAATTGCAGGTTCAAAAATCGTATCTGAAAAATTCCAAGGGTTATAGTAAATTTTCAAGGAGGCTTGCTCTCAGTTAAATATGCAGAGGAATTATGAAAACCGTAGGAACCCCCGACTTTCGCTCGATTTTTGTAAATCAACCAGATGTCGCCTCAATCTAAAAAATTTGACTTGAACTTGCTACATCTCAACATGGAACACCTCTACAAACGCGTTGTCTTCACATATGCCAAGAAAAAAAAAGCAGACCTGTGACATGTACTGATGTAAGAAAAAAATTTTGGGGGAAATCTCACCAAAGGTTGACGACCAGAGTTCGAAGGACTCTGATGCTGTGGTTTCGGCGGCTGCTGCTGCTCACGAAGCAACGCAGGGGTGGAACCACCGCAGTGGTTCCGCACTCGGGCGCCACCCGACAGGTGTCCCATAGCAACCACTGCACCTGTGCCGAATCCGATGGCACCACACTGTTGGGGCACTTGCGCCACTAGTTGCCTCGAATGCTCCACGAATTTCGACGGAGACGCGTCGCAACTCAGTCGACTCGACCTCATATTCGCCGCTGTCGCCCTGCGAAAAAAAAAAAAAAAATTACATAACAATATTTATACGTAACTACTTCATTAGAAAAATTTGAAGTACACGAGGGAATAACCCGTCCTTATCATTGTTCCGTGAAAGAAAATCGAATCATCTTTCGAAGCCTTCCACTTGATTCAATAACCGCAGTTTCTCATAACCGCACATGAGTAGCTTTTTTACGGGTGCATATTCCAGTGGATTGGGCAGAAGTACACCACTCATAAGGAGTGATATTCGATAGCTAAAGGTATAAATGTTTTTCGAATCACGAGTGGAAGTTCCTTCCTTTTATTTTTCGAATGATATTGATTCTGCAATTTTTGTTGATTGAATAAAGTATTGTGCTAGCGCACGCATAAAAAAAAAAACATATAACTTTAAGTTGATGTGCACTTTCCAGAAAGGTTGACAGATTTATTCGAATGATTTTGTCCTAGTAACGCGTGTCTTCAAATCATTCTCGAACAGCCATGTATACAGACATATTCCATGTTAGAACATACTACAGAATCGTATGAAAATACATAAGTTTACGAAGATTTGTCTACTGTATTTGAACATGAATCAACAGTACATACTCGTTTCTGGTCCACCCTCCGAAGGCCAAAAATTATTTCAGCCTTCAATTGGATGCTCGAATTTTTCCATGTTTTATTCCAGAAGGACGAAATATGCCGATTACTTCGGCGTGAAGGTGAATTTATCCGAAACTGCGCGAATCAAGATACGCAGATTTTCTTGGAAATAGCCGGCAAAAACCGCTGTTCATGAAGCATTCGTTAAAATATAGTGATTTTTCTTGTACAGTATTTTCGGGCCCAATACACAAAAATGCGTACAGTATTTTAAATTCCCATCAGCGCAGCCAAAGCTTCCCGTTGACCTCAATAATCGTATTCGAATGCACAAGAATTCTCCGACACGAGACATAAAAATTCAATGAAATCTTTTCCCGAAATTCCAGCGTCTTAGCACCCCGAAAGTTGGATTTCCTCGTGCAAAAAATCCTGAGATTTTTGCTGAGAAGAGGTGAGAAGCAGTGAAGCTTGTAAGAAAATGAAAAGTCAGGCATAAGCGGATGATCTGTCAACAATGACCCAAACTATAATCCTATTTCATACGAATTAAATGACCTAATCCTCAGCTCAAATCGTATTATAGATAGAGGGTAGACCACCATGCCTGTACTCTATTCAAGTGAAACTTATCTTTTTTATCCGAAAGGTCTCAAATGCATTTATATTTTCATTTCATGGAATTTTTCTCTACTGATTATTCGAGATTCGCAGTGCAATTTCAGTGTAGATATTAATCATGCTCTTCGGTAGCAGCAAAACTGAAAATATATCCAGGACTAACGAACATACCGCAGAATTATGGAATTGGTGTGAACCGAAGATGAATTAATGAGAAAGAAGAGGGAAGAAAACCTGGCATTACGCAGGCAATCAAAAATGCTCAGTACCTTCTC